CATCCAGCTACTCTAACTCCAAATCAAAACTAGCTACCATTGTCAAGGCAATTTCGATCGAAGTGTGTTAAACTATTCCCTTCCTCTGTGAGTATCCATTTGCTACTAATTGAGCCTTGTATCTTTTTCATTCCTCTTATGACAATTCTTTCTTTCCTTACGTACACCTACTTATTTATATATACATTATTGGTTTCTTCTCCTCTGAAAACTCCACCAAATTCCATGTATAATGATGCAGTGACCCAATTTCTTCCGTCATAGTTGGATCCTTTCTCTTGACTACAATGGCATCCTCAATATATGATCTATTGTTGGTAACGAGTGCATAAGAAATTGAATCCTCTAATATACACTTAATGGTGTTCTGAAAGTGCGATATGATCTGTCTGTGGCAACACTATGATACTACTCCACTTCTGACAAAAAAAAAATGTACTTTCTTGATTTTGGATCAAGTTTAGATATCTAATCACTAGATGCATGTAAATCAACTTCATTACCTGTCCAAACTTCCTCTGCAACTCTCCCATCTAGTGCTACTCGTGGTGATTTGTTTATGACATAACATCTTGCCCGTTGTACAACTGTATGAGAGTTGAACTTCTTTACGTCTCCATACAAGATTCTCTGTTTCGGGCTCCAAGAAGCGCTGCTCCATGAAAATTTGCTCCTTCATCATGAAGGAAAGCAGTCTCACATCCAGCTACTCTAACTTCAAATCAAAACTAGCCACCGTTGTCAAGGCAATCCTGATCGAAGGGTGTTAATCTATTCCCCTCCTCTGTGAGTATCCCTTTGCTACTAATCGAGCTTTGTATCTTTCTCATTCCTCTTCTAACATTGCTTCTTTCTTCTCCTCTGAAAAACTCCACCAAATTTCAAGTATCATTATTATGCAGCGACTCAATTTCTTCCATCGTAGCCTAATCCTTTCTCTTGACTACAATGGCATCCTGAAAAGATCACTATTGCTGGTAATGAGTGCATAAGAAATCGAATCCTCTAATACTTCATGGTGTCCTGAAAGTGCGACATGGTCTATCTGTGGCAATACTATGATACTACTCCACTTCTGACCAAGAAAAATGTGCTTTCTTGATTTTGGATCAAGTTTGGATATCTGATATACATGCATGTAAATCAACTTCATTACCTGTCCAAACTTCCTCTACAACTCTCCCATCTAGTGCTGCTCATGGTGATCTGTTTATGACATAACATCTTGCCCATTGTACAACTGTATGAGAGTTGAACTTCTTGTAAGTCTCCATACAAGATTCTCTGTTTCGGGCTCCGAGAACCCTCTCGTTGCTCCATGAAAATTTGCTCCTTCATTATTAACTCCAAATCAAAACTAGCCACCTCAAGGCAATCTTGATCGAAGTGTGTTTATGTATACCCTTCCTCTGTGAGTATCTGATGAGGACATTTATGTTGGACTTTTTCATTTGGGCTTATATTTTGTTTTGTGTATTGGTCCAGGCCTTTTTATTTTCTTTGGGCTTTTATAGTGTTTTAGGCAGGCCCAAGCCCAATCTTTTGTTTGTATATTATATAGAGACATATGCAGCCTTTGTTTGTATTTCTATCTCTGCAGCCTGTTGCATGGCAGATTGGATGGAATGATATGATTTTTGAGTGTTGCAGGCTTTCTCCCCTAGCCATTTCTCTACTGTGTGTTCTGCTTAAGGCATTTCTTTCAACTTTCACAAGTTCTAGATTATTAACCTATGCTACACCAACTTGCCTAGAGCTAAACTTGGGGAAACATTTTAGATGTTCAGTCGTCTGCCTGCAATCCATAGCTTGTGCCATATCCAGTTTCATCCTATTCAAAATGACAAACCCAAATTCGTTGCTGCAGAACCCAGTCACCACCTCCACCTTCTCTGCTTCTGTTCCTGACCACCACCTTTTTCCTTGAACTACTCAATACGCAAGAAACCCATACAACCAACCATACAGCTGACTCACAGTAACACCATTGACCCAAAATAAACCAAAGCTCGATTCTTCCAAATATCAACAGATCCAGCCCATAACTCCAAGCACGTCCTAGCTCGCCGTCGCTCATTTATTCAAATCAACCTCCGACAAGAACTGCATACCCACGACTGACGGCAGCAACCACAACGGCCAGTACCATCTCCTAAATTGAAACAACCACCCGAAATTACAGCAACCAAAAATTGAGCCAGCTTCTTTTCGAAATCGGACCACTCACGACAACCCGGAGCCACCAACTACCCTCACAGTACCGTCGCCCGTCACAGCCAAGATTAAAGCCTAGCAGAGACAGCGACCCAGAAATCACATCGGCTGTTGCTATTGGGCGACCCATGACGTTATTTGGGCTCTGTTTTAGTATTTTAGGTCGAGCTTTAGTGTGTTGGGCTCAATTTTGTGAAATGGGCTAAGTTATTGTTTTATTGTTCTGATTTTGTAAGTTAAAAAAAGTTGTTCTGATTTTGTAAGTTTAAAAAAAAAAAAAAAAAGGAAAAGAAAAGAAAAGAAAAGAAAAGCGAAAAAAATAATTTATATTTTCTAACATTGTTTTGCAGGTACTTCTTTTCCTGTTGATCTACCCAGTTACGTCAGCGAACAAAAAGGAAAGTTACTATTTTTATCTATATTTGGTCTATATTACTGTTAATTTAAAATCGCATCAATTAGTTTTCTGTTCTGCCATTACATTACTTTACCTGAAATTACATGATTGAACCCTTGTTAAACCCCACTTTTATCCTACTTATTTTACGTGATTAGATTTTGACTAGTAATTTGACCCTCGCTTTGTGATTTTACATCTATCAGTAGTATTAACTTGCCATATTTGGACTTACTTAATCCCAAACCTTTAGTTTAAATGCTCAAGTTGCTATTTTTCGTTACTTGCACTTGTTGTTCATTGATCTCTCCATCGCACCACCCCCATGGGGATGGTTTACAGGGTTCATAACTACTCCTCTTACTACAGGACGCTTACCTACCCCAACTTTTCTGGTTCGCAAGTCATATAGCTGGTATTACATTTGCGTAGTGGTTGTCTAATCACACCTAGTTCTAGTACATTCACCATCCCCTCACAGTTTGATGCACTCACTAGACAATTAGCTCAACTTGTCATTAGCCAGCAACATTTACAGACTCAAATTGCGGCTGTTCAAATCGAGATGGCTGCTACTCGTGAAGAGAGTAGAGACGCTACTAGGTTGGACAATTTTGAACAAACCCCTCGTTCGACTGACGCTGATAACTCTGAAGCGTCCCATAATGTACCCTATTATCATCGACAAAGTGGTCAACATCATCCTCGACGTGATCAAAGGAATAGAGATCAGGGCCATGATTGAGAACGAGGTCATGGCCGTCGAATCATTCTCCTCCACGCCATGATGAGCGTTACTTCAGAAACATCAAGTTAGACGCTCATACTTTCGATGGTTGCTTAGATCCTAGAGTTTTTACTCAGTGGATTAGAGACATGGATCGTTTCTTAGCATGGTATGGAGTCCTAGAGGATCGACGTGTCCAGTTTGTCAGTTTGAAATTAACTGGCACGCTCTTCTGGAAAAGTGTTGAGGATCTCCTTGAGAGGCGTCACGCACCTCCAAGTTAGACGCTCATACTTTCGATGGTTGCTTAGATCCTAGATTTTTTACTCAGTGGATTAGAGACATGGATCGTTTCTTAGCATGGTATGGAGTCCTAGAGGATCGACGTGTCCAGTTTGCCAGTCTGAAATTAACTGGCACCACCCAACTCTTCTGGAAAAGTGTTGAGGATCTCCTTGAGAGGCGTCGTGCACCTCCAGTTGGAAGTTGGAAGGAAATGAAGCATCACCACATTCAAGAGAAATATTTGCCCCAATCTTACAGGGTCAACTTGTTGGACCAATGGAATACCATTACACAGGGAAATCGACCAGTGACTAAATATGTTACTCAATTTGATGAATTTCGAATGCGATATCATGTCGTTGAGGATGAGGTAATGACTTTGAATAGGTTTATGGAAGGCGTGTTGAAAATCGTCCTTCTGTCTCATCCGTGCCGCCTCCGCCTATTAAGATCCTAGGGCCTCCCCCGTCTAATGTCCCCCCTGTGTTGGAAAATAAGGGGTAAAGCTCCCGAAATTCCAAAAACTTCTTCTCGCATGCAGTGCTTCAATTGTAAAGGCTTTGATCATATCGCATCTAGATGTCCTAGTCGAGCTTTAGTCATTGAGGAACGAAAAGATGTAGAAGGTGAGTCATTAGAAGATCAAGTCTATGAACTTAAGTTTAAAGAGTTTGACGATTTGGATGTTATTGATGATACCTTGTTAGGTTGTATCTAAACCTTCCCTATAGATCTAGATTCTGTGACCTCTGTCCCCGACACCTCGCGGCTAAATGTTGTACGTTGTACCCTCACTCACCCTAAAGATGCTGGCGACTCATACCATTTTTCACACTTATATCAAGATCAATAACAAGGGTTGTAAAATTATTGTGGATGGTGGTACCTGCATTAATGCAGTTTCTGTGGCTACGGTGTCCCGTCTTGGATTACAACCAGTCTCGTCTTGGATTATAGTGTCTCTTGTCAACACTTCTTCTATTGCCGTAAATGAGCGTTGTTTGATTCCTATCCAGTTTCTTGGATATAAAAATAATATATGGTGCGACGTCATTCCCATGGACGTCGGGCACGTCATTCTTGGTCTACCCTGATTGTTCGATTTAGATGTCACTATCTATAGTCGATCAAATTCATGTTCCTTTGTGTTCAACGGGAAGAAGATTCACCTTAATCCTTTACCGTCAAAACTTGTTGACTCACAACAGACCAAGAAAATTGTGGAACTGAAAGGGTTACATATGATTAGCCCTACAGAATTTGAACGTACACTCAAAGAGGATTCTGTTGTGTTTGCCGTGATCGTCATGGAAGTTCCATCGGAATCTCCAATATTGACCCCTGATTGAGGTCCAATCAGTTCTTCAAGAGTTTTGGATGTCTTTCCTGAAGACCTCCCTGATCTATTGCCCCCTTTACGGGACATTCAACATGCTTATAGATCTTATCCCTGGATTGTCTCTTCCAAATTTACCTCATGCTGAGCTTCAAAGGCAAGTAGAGGAGCTCCTTCGCAAAGGATTTATTCGTGAGAGTCTAAGTCCTTGTGCGGTTCCCGCTCTTTTGACTCCTAAGGAAGATAGTTCTTGGAGAATGTGTGTTGATAGTCGTGCCATCATGACCAACCGGTCATGCCTTTTGGGCTAGTACTTTTATGAGAGTAATGACACAAGCTTTGCGACCATTCATAGGTAAATTCCTCGTTGTCCACTTTGATGACATTCTCGTGTACTACTAACTAGGGAACAACATAGAGATCATCTCACACATGTTTGTTCTACCCTTCGCGCCACAAGCCTGTATGCTAATGTGAAGAAATGTTCTTTCTTCACAGATAAAGTTGTATTTCTAGGTTTTATTGTCTCCATGACAGGAGTGTCTGCTAACCTTGCAAAGTTTCAGGCCATTGTTGGTTGGCAGGCCCAAGACCATGACGTTCGAAGTTTTCATGGTTTAGTTACCTTTTATCGTCGTTTCATTAAAGGGTAAAAGCATGATCATGGCTCCTATTACGGAGTGTATGAAAAGAGGAATTTTATTGGTCGCACGAAGCGGCCAAAGCATTTAAGTTGGTTAAGAGGCGAATAACAGAAGCTCTAGTCATGCGACTTCCTGATTTTTCCAAAGTTTTTGAAGTAGAATGTGATGCCTCTGGAGTAGGGATAGGTAGAGTTTTGAGCCAAGAGCCACCCTATTGCTTATTTCAGTGAGAAATTAAATGATGCGAAACGACGGTACTTGACATATGACAAGGAGTTGTATGCAGTCGTACAAGCTTTACGCTATTGGCGTCATTACTTGTTGCCCCAAGAATTTGTTCTTTATTCGGACCATGAGGCACTTCGCTACCTTAATTCCCAAAAGAGGTTGAATGCTAGGCATGGTCGTTAGATCGAGTATTTGCAGGTCTACTCTTTTGTTTTGAAGCATAAAAAGGGCAGTGAAAATCAAGCAGGGGATGCTTTAAGTCGCCGCATTTCACTTTTAACCAATATGAGTGTCAAGGTCATAGGTTTTGAACGACTCAAAGAAGATTATGAGTCATGTCCCGATTTCAAGGACATTTTCCTTGCATTGATATTAGGTTTTCGTCTAGAGGATGGTTATTTAAGTCCAATAAATTGTGCATCCCTCGGACTTCAGTACGAGACTCTATAGTTTGGGAAAGTCACGCGGGAGGCCTGGCTGGGCATTTTGGACGTGATAAGACAATCGAAGAGGTTGAACGTCAATTTTATTGGCCTCGTTTGAAAACAGATGTAGCTTCTTGTCAGTTGACCAAACAGAAGAGACAAAACATAGGTCTTTAGATACCTCTTCCCGTCCCTAGTTGTCCTTGGCAAGACGCTAGTATGGATTTTGTACTAAGACTTCCATGTACTCCAAAGAAACATGATTCTATTTTTGTTATAGTGGATCGTTTCTCGAAAATGACCCACTTTATCCCTTGCAGCAAGACTTCAGATGCGTCTAAGGTTGCTAGGCTGTATTTTACTGAGATTGTTAAATTGTATGGCCTTCCTAAGACCATTGTGTCAGATAGGGATGTTCGGTTGCCACTTCCGGAGAACCTTATGGCACATGGTTGGCACTAAGTTGAAATTTTCCACTGCGTATCATCCTCAGACATCGTCAAACTAAAGTTGTTAATCGCAGTCTTCGTAACCTATTAAGATGTCTAGTTCAGGAAAATTTGAGGAACTGGGATCTAATCCTCCTGATAGCCCAAATTGCATACAACAGTTTTTTGAATCGATCTTTAGGCATGAGTCCTTTTGAAGTTGTTCATGATTATAAACCTAGGAAGCTTTTAGACCTTATCCCTATGTCCCCACATGCTAATGTGTACAGGTTGGGGCATTTGTACAACATTTTCATGACTTGCATATTGAGATCAATAAACAACTAGAGGCAAGTAATGCATCATATAAATTTCGAGTTGATTTGCATAAACAATATGTTGAGTTTAAAATTGGGGATTATGTGATGATCCGAATTAGACCGGAACGGCGTCCATCTGGATCCGCTTCCAAATTGCAAGCCCGTAGCTCCTTTTAAAATCTTAAAGCGTGTTGGTCCAAATGCGTATGTCATTGATCTTCCATCACATTTTGGCTACCACTCTACTTTCAATGTTGAGGATTTACTTGCTTATAAAAGCCATTTTAAACCCTCTGATGACCCTTTTCTACCCCCATCTGTTGACTTTCAACCTGAACCTATTGGTAGCTCTACTTCAACACCTGTCACAGTACCAAAGATAAGATTGATGCTATTTTAGATGAATAGATTATGTTGACCAATGATGGAGAAATTCAGCGCTTTCTTGTTCGTTGGGTAGGACGACCTGACTCTGATTGCACATGGATCCCTAGAGAGACACTCCAACAACTTGATCCTGACTTGTTGGAGCTTTATAGGAGTCAGCATGATCTTCTATTACCCAGACCACCTATCACACGTGTATATGGACGTCGGAAGAAACGTCCAACCACTCAACTTATGGTTTGGCGACTGATTGCAGCCTTCTGTGAGTTATTCTCTCGACAGAATCGAGTTTTCTCCCATCCCGAGAGAGTTGATGAGGACATCTATGTTGGACTTTTTTATTTGGGCTTATATTATGTTTTGTGTATTGGTCCGCGCCTTTTTTATTTTCTTTGGGCTTGTAGAGCCGGCCCAAGCCCAATCTTTTGTTTGTATATTATATAGAGGCATGCAACCTTTGTTTGTATATTTATAGAGGCATGCAGCCTGCTGCATGGCAGATTGGATGGAATGATATGATTTTTGAGTGTTGCAGGCTTTCCACCGCCCTTTTCTCTCCTTCTTCTCCTCTAGCCATTTCTCTACTGTGTGTTCTGTGCTACATCAGTATCCCTTTGCTACTAATCGAGTATTCCTCTTCTGACATTACTTCTTTACTTACTTATATATACTTTATCGGTTTCTTCTCCTTTGAAAATCCACCAAATCCCAGGTATCATTATTATGCAGTGACTCAATTTCTTCCGTCATACCTAATCCAGAGACTACAATGGCATCCTGAAAAGATCACAGTGCATAACAAATCGAATCCTCTAATATATACTTCATGGTGTCCTGAAAGTGCGACATGGTCTATCTGTGGCAATACTATGATACTACTCCACTGCTGACCAAGAAAAATGTACTTTCTTGATTTTGGATCAAGTTTGGATATCTGATCACTAGATATATGCATGTAAATCAACTTCATTACTTGTCCAAACTTCCTCTGCAACTCTCATATCTAGTCCTGCTCGTGGTGATCTGTTTATGACATAACATCTTGCCCGTTGTACAACTTATGAGAGTTGAACTTCTTGTAAGTCTCCATACAAGATTCTCTGTTTCGTGCTCCAAGAAGCGCTGCTCCATGAAAATTTACTCCTCCATCATGAAGGAAAGCAGTCTTCACATTCAGCTACTCTAACTCCATCCAAATCAAAACTAGCCACCATTGTTAAGGCAATCCCGATCGAAGTGTGTTAATCTATTCCCTTCCTCTGTAAGTCCTTTGCTACTAATCGAGCCTTGTATCTTTCTCAATCTCTTCTGACATTGCTTCTTTCTTTTTGTACACCTATTACTTACATATACTTTATCGGTTTCTTCTCCTCTGAAAATCGACCAAATCCCAAGTATCATTATTATGCGGTGACTCAATTTCTTCCGTCATACCTAATCCAGAGACTACAATGGCGTCCTGAAAAGATCGTGCATAAGAAATCGAATCCTCTAATATATACTTCATGGTGTCCTAAAAGTGCGTCTATCTGTGGCAATACTATGATACTACTCCACTTCTGACAAAAAAAAAAAAAAAGTACTTTCTTGATTTTGGATCAAGTTTGGATATTTGATCACGAGATACATGCATATAAATCAACTTCATTGCATGTCCAAACTTCCTCTGCAACTCTCCCATCTAGTGCTGCTCGTGGTGATCTGTTTATGGCATAACATCTTGCTCGTTGTACAACTGTATTAGAGTTGAACTTCTTGTAAGTCTCTATACAAGACTCTCTATTTCGGGCTCCAAGAACCCTCTCGTTGCTCCATGAAAATTTGCTCCTCCATCATGAAGGAAAGCAGTCTCACATCCAGCTACTCTAACTCCAAATCAAAACTAGCCACAACTATCAAGGCAATCCTGATCGACATCTATTCCCTTCCTCTGTGAGTAGTATCCCTTTGCTACTAACCGAGCCTTGTATCTTTCTCATTCCTCTTCTGACATTGCTTCTTTCTTTCTGTACACCTACTTACATAAATACTTTATCGGTTTCTTCTCCTCTGAAAACTCCACCAAATCCCATGTGTCATTATTATGCAGTGACTCAATTTCTTCCGTCATAGCCTAATCATTTCTCTTGACTACAATGGCATCCTGAAAAGATCACTATTGCTACCACAAGTGCATAAGAAATCGAATCCTCTAATATATACTTCATGGTGCCCTAAAAGTGCGACATGGTGTCCTAAAAATACTATTATACTACTACACTCCTGTTAAAAAAAAAAGTACTTTCTTGATCTGATCACTAGATACATGCATGTAAATCAACTTCGTTACTTGTCCAAACTTCCTCTGCAACTCTCCCATCTAGTGCCGCTCGTGGTGATCTGTTTATAACATAACATCTTGCCCGTTGTACAACTGTATGAGAGTTGAACTTCTTACAAGATTCTCTGTTTCGGGCTCCAAGAAGCGCTGCTCCATGAAAATTTGCTCCTCCATCATGGAGGAAAGCAGTCTTCACATCCAGCCACTCTAACTCCAAATCAAAACTAGCCACCATTAATTCAAGGCATTCAATCCTGATCGAAGTGTGTTAATCACCCTTCCTCTGTGAGTATCTCTTTGCTAGCCAAAACTCCAAACCAAAACTAGCCACCATTAATTCAAGGCATTCAATCGTGATCGAAGTGTGTTAATGGTCTGTGAGTATCTTTCTCATTCCTCTTCTGCCATTGCTTCTTTCTTTCTGTACGTACACCTACTTACTTACATATACTTTATCGGTTTCTTCTCCTCTGAAAACTCCACCAAATCCCAAGTATCATTATTAAGCAGTGACTCAATTTCTTCCGTCCTAGCCTAATCCTTTCTCTTGACTCCAATGGCATCCTGAAAAGATCACTATTGCTGGTAATGAGTGCATAAGAAATCGAATCCTCTAATATATACTTCATGGTGTCCTGAAAGTGCGACATGGTCTATCTGTTGGATAGATCACTACATACATGCATGTAAATCAACTTTTCCTCTGCAACTCTCCTATCTAGTGCTGCTTGTGGTGATCTGTTTATGACATAACATCTTGCCTGTTGTACAACTTATGAGAGTTGAACTTCTTATAAGTCTCCATATAAGATTCTCTGTTTCGGGCTCTAAGAAGCAGCCTCCATGAAAATTTGCTCCTCCATCATGAAGGAAAGCAGTCTTTACATTCAGCCACTCTAACTCCAAATCAAAACTAGCCACCATTGTCAAGGCAATCCCGATCGAAGTGTGTTAATCTATTCCCTTCCTTTGTGAGTATTCCTTTGCTACTAATCGAGCCTTATATCTTTCTCATTCCTCTTTTGATATTGCTTATTTCTTTCTGTACACCTACTTACTTATATATACTTTATCGGTTTCTTCTCCTCTGAAAACTCCACCAAATCCCATGTATCATTATTATGCAGTGACTCAATTTCTTCCATCATAGCCTAATCATTTATCTTGACTACAATGGCATCCTGAAGAGATAACTATTGCTAGTAATGAGTGCAAAAGAAATCGAATCCTCTAAGTTATGGTGTCCTGAAAGTGCGACATGGTCTGTCTGTGGCAATACTATGATACTACTCCACTTTTGACCAAGAAAAATGTACTTTCTTGATTTTGGATCAAGTTTGGATATCTGATCACTAGATACATGCATGTAAATCAACTTCATTACTTGTCCAAACTTCCTCTGCAACTCTCCTATCTAGTGCGCAGCTCGTGGTGATCTGTTTATGACATAATATCTTGCCCGTTGTACAACTTATGAGAGTTGAACTTCTTGTAAGTCTCCATACGAGATTCTCTGTTTCGGGCTCCAAGAAGCGCTGCTCTATGAAAATTTGCTCCTCCATCATGAAGG